GCAAACACTGATAGGACTTCTATGTGCTGTTTTTGGTTCAAGATTACTGTGCAGTTAGTATATGTGATTGAAAGTGTCGCTTCATAAAAAGCAATTTTAATCAGTCTCAACAAAACAATTCACACAGTCACAACGACACATTTAATATGCTTTGCAACAAACAAAAGATGATAAAACATACGAACTGTGGCAGAAATGCCACGGAGGAAGTGACATAAGAGGCCGAATGCCTTTCTTGCACAGCAAAGGCCGAGGTAACAAAAGGAACGCGAAGATATGAGTTTTACTTGCAGGGCCACATGCACATATTTTACCTGGCGAAGCTCCGCACTAAAAGTTACAAGTTCCAAAATGTTACTCCGCTCGCTATCTTTGAGTGCTAAGTGTCACAGATCCAGGGCGCTGCTTATTACGACAACTTTGCTGGATTCGTTTAAAGAATTTTAAGAAAAATTGTCCTTCTGAATTGTGCCAATTCTAACATCACGATTATACAATCGCATAAACGCTTCATAAGCAAATGGCAAGAAGCAATTAGTCAGCGACGAAACATCTTCAACAAAAATCCAGCATCCAGTTAATGCACAGTCAATTCTAAGTTCCAGGCGACTGTCTACAAGTATGAAACGACGACAGTAACCAAAAGTCACAAGCCATTGAAAAAATAAACCCGTAACACATAATCGTAGTTGAGTAACAATATTAAGAGAAGATATTCAGAAGTTATACTATACTGTGAGTCGGAATGAAAAAGCATTTTTTTAAAATATAGCATGTGGTTTCGCACAATAAATGCACAGACGAACTAATTTTGCGGATATGGCAAAAAGTGGAAAAAGAATGCGCTCAAAGGCATTTAAGTGCCAAAGAAATGCAAAAATGTCATTTTTTTATATCTGAAAAAATTACGCAGGAAGCCTGATCAAGTACCCGCTAAGCGGTTATCACCAACAAGAGGTAACAGAAAAAAGAAAAAAAAAGATGTATCACGGCAAAAACTTGTTTGTTCAACTGATGGCACCATGTTAGGATCTGAAATATAGCATCTACATTCGGAGATGACAATAAAAAAACTGGTCATTATCAACAGTGACTGGCCAATCGGCGTTGGTATCTAATGCTAATATTGCAGGGCGCTCCCATAACTTGGACACAAATACCCAGACCTTCGAACTTGAACTGCATTTCTTCAGTTTGAACTCACAACCTGTTCGACAAATGTGAACTACCTTTTCGGAAGCCGACCGAGCAGTAGCGGGTCTTCCCGTGAGTAACAGAACTTATATGAAGTCGCCACCGTTGTTAGCAAGGTAAGGAACATGCTCTGTCCATCAGATTTACATCCTACACACTCCCCATTTGGCAGAAAGAACGCTAACATGGTCATGAACGGACACCAGCATCATTCTTCCTACAGTTCACTCTGCCCCTCTTCTGCTTTCTTAAATGACCAGTGACCAGGTTCCGTACCAGTAAAATCACTGTCTTCAGCACAGTGGCACTGAAAGTCTGAACAAGGTCCTTCTGGTCCAAAACTTCAGAAAACTGAAGACAGCACGGAATTTGCGCCAGTCGGTACTTTCATGCACAGTCCCGGGATACAGTTTGTGGCGCACATCTATTTCTCGGCCAAAACAATTTGACCGCCAGCTTCTTTCAAGCCAGCACAGTTCAAATGCGCTTATTTTCAGGTCAACTTCCATATATTTTGTGTTGAGCTAAGGCAGCACTTCACTCATTTCCCGAGCATTACTTGCATTAGAAACTAGGTTAACCGCAAATGTATGAAGCCTGGGTAACCAGCACTGATTTTAAACCTATTTCTAACCCAGATCATGAAATACACTTTGAAGCAGGCCTTGAGAAGCTTGCTGATAATCAAAAAATTACAAAGTTGACGAGAAATTCACCTAGGTATGCCATTATCAGCAAGTAGAGGTATCCTTCCAGTGGGGGAGTGCTGATTTGCGCAGAGTTCACTGATTTTGAGACCAAGACGAGATGACCAAATAGCGCATTTATCGTACAACATCAGCATGCAATACGCATCCAGCGCTGCATATCGTAACTGAAACAAATTCAAGAAAATGCCACATTCATCACTTTTCGCATGACAAACTGGGGCGGTAGGACGCTGAAACGCATTCAATAGAGGGAAACAAAACTTCAGCCGCACCTGCTCCACTGAATTTGCAGTTTGTCCTCATCTTTTTGAATTTATTAATGGTTTAACTTCTGACATTCAGTTTACAGTGCCTCCCGCCCTGACATAGCATGCCCACTAAAATTTAGTCCATTTCTGAAGCAAAACTAAAAAGTAGCTCTAAAAAGGGCAAAACGTGCGGTTTACTTAGTGCTCTGAATGGAAAGAACGAAATTGGCATGAAAAAGGACACCGCAAAAGAAATCCTGGCAGGTATTGCGCGGTAGCAATTAGCGCTTCTTTCATGCTGGAAATCGAAGGTTCAACTCCCTCAACAGGATACTCAATTCCTCTACAATTCGTTAATATGTTTCGATAGCGAGATCATAAGAATGTTAGAGAATCAAAAACATCACCAATCGCTTCTAATCAACCTCTCAGAAACCCTCTAGCTTTGCCAGCAAGCTGATATTGGCAGGTATCACCATTCGGGCTACTTCCAGCAGCTGTGTTTCTCAGAGGAAGTGAATTACAGACGGGTTTTAGAATATTTTAACATAAGCAATTTTTAAACACTAACGAGAACTCAATAAAGCGAGAGCTGTAGACAAGCGGATGTAGCGAACTTATATTACAGCAAAATGGAATTGTTCTTTGGCTGCGATAAAAAACGCGACGTACCGCCAACAAGCAACTGGTCAAAGCAAAAAAAAATTCATCAAAACATTCAACTCTCTCCAACAGATTGAATGCTCACAATCCCCCTCCCTCTCTTAAATGAATGTCTATTTGTAGGCTCTAAAATGACCAAATTTCTAATTAAAATACCTGCAAAGAACGAAGTGGTCGACGGTCCCAAACAGAGCACTGTTCTGATTTATCCAATTGTTTGCCTAAAACTCGTTCACACAGTGCGGATAGTCCTTTGATATTTTCTAGCAGTGGATTCGACTGATGGACCTGCTCGGTCTGCTGTTGCTGTGATAGGCTCCGGCCATGCTCCGACTGAAACTAATATTAAGAATGCAAAAATTTCATGCCACTTATAAAAAGAAATTGCAATCCGTAAAAAGCGCAGTTTGCCTCCCAAACGAATTTTCCAATGAATATCTTTAAAACTGTTGCTTACAACAGTCTAAAACAAACTCAGGCTGGCCGGTGCGATCATGCGTTTTTGCACTTTTCGTGCTGTAGCAAGATCGCAAGGAACTGCAGTGACTAGCCCTGTGACATACTGGTCCTCGAAGTTCGGGAAGTTAGTTGTGCAGCTATGTGATGTATAAGTTGCAGATATCCGCTTCAGTGATCCGGCAAACGGCAAATTGCTAGTGTGCGAAAAAGGCACTACTCGAAGAATTAATTTTGAAATCTTTTAGTCGCACATGAAGAGGAGACATCCCCTCAAAATTCCAGCGTTCTAGCTTTTCTTGTGCCCGAGTTAGCAGTTTTCCCACTACAATTATCACATGCCCATACGTAAGTCTCGGGCAGTACTAGGCAGCTGAATTTGAAAACTTTTAGTCATACATAGGTAGGGAACATTCCCCTAAAGTTTCAGCTTTTAGCTTTTCCCGTTCCCGAGTCAGCAACTTTCAGGCCAAAACTTTCTCGTGTCTGTGCGCGGGGCCAAGACATGCGTGAGGGCTGGCACCACGATCCTGGGGCGACACTTGACCGAGGAACACACGGGCAAAATCTCAGCTTCAAAGCTTGCGTGGCTGACGAGTTGAAATACCCGAACACACACACACACACACATACACACACTGACAAGGTCGTTGCATTCTGCTACCTGTTGCTGCGCTCTAGCGCTGTACGGCAAAAACGCATAAAAATTAGACAGCTATGTATTTGAAATTACCACAAAATGTGTATGGCTCAAAAAATGAGCAGAAGCAAATCATCGAGGGATCACAAAAATAACACGAACGAAAGAATTCATAGCAGCATCAAATTCATGCTGAAGAAAGCTTGAAGTGTTCTTATCAGTAGCTCAAGAAAAAATAACTGGCAGTGCACCGACTGCCGGTGCAAAGATGCGTTTTTTGCACAGTTCCACGCAAGTTGCTTCCGCTAGCGGCACTACTTTTTTCCATTAATTGCTTTTAAAAGAATTAAGACTAGCTACCACGACTGGAGAAAACATTTTCTTAAAATTTCAGCTTTCCAGCTTCTCTGGTTCTGAGTTAGCAACTTAGTCGCGAGAAATTTTCATGGACCCATATGTGGAACGCATACCTGGGAGCTGGGTTTAAACTCATTAAGTTCTAAGGACGAGCAGCATCCCCTTAAAATTTCAGCTTTCAAGCTTTTCAGGTTCCTGAGTTGACGATTTACCTACAAAAAACTTTCTCGGGTCCGCACGTGGCAACCACGTGGGAAAGAGTGTCCATTTTGGGAATAACGGCCCGCACATAAATGCAGACCAAGTTCCCAAAGTTTCAGTCTTGTAGTTTTTGTAGGTCGCGAGATAAAAAAAACCCTCACACAGACAACCCCTCGATAATATGCGTTTTCGCATCGAACAAATGAAAATAAATAGTAAGCGCATCAGACAAGCCCGTGTGATCATGCGTTTTCTGCAGATCGCCCACCGAACGTTTGCCTGCTAATGATTTCCACTGCTTTATACTTTAATCTGTGCAAAAATAGTTGATACGCTGAAAAATAGTTAAAAAATTTACGCACCAACACATGAAATTTCACGCACCGGCACTATCGCAGAACTGCAGCTTCTTGGCCTTTATGGTTCCCGAAATAAGAGTTCACCCGCCAAAATTTTCATAGGATCGTGGGTAATACCCGACAGCGCGGGGACGCTCAATCTGAGTTTGCAAGATCGTATGTGAACAAGAGGTCGTTACCCTAAAATTTCAGCTTCGTAGATTTTGTTGTTCCCGAGATAATAATTTACCATCAAAATTTTCACGGGGCCACACACATTACCCGCGGGCAGGGGAAAGCTGAATTTGAATTTTCTGGGTAGCAAATGGGCGGGGAACATGTTCAAAAAATTTCAGAATTCTAGTTTCCGTGGTTCCCGTCATAATAATTTTACCCGCCCAAACTTTTACTGGGCTGTACGTGTTAGCTGCGGGTATGGGGAGACTGGTTTTAAATTTGCAGTCACACGTGGGTGGGGAACGTTCCCCTAAGTTTCCAGCTTCCTAGCTGTTGTGGTTCCCGAATTGAAAGTTGCAAACAAGTTGCTGCGGGCACACATACACACACACGCACAAACGCACACACAGACAACCCCGTGACAATACGCGTTTTGTACTGCTGTTCGCATAAAAATGTGTAAAAAAAACTGATTAAAGCAAGCATTCTTGCATAGTTTTGTCTAGAAGTTGCTTGCTTTTATTGAAGTTCTTTTTTCAGAGCTTGCTGCGCACCCATCTGATGAATTTCTTTTTCGTATTTGGCACTGTCCATGAATTGGTGGGAAGCTTCGTGGCTTTCATTAACATTGTGAATGTGTGAAAATTAGGCAGTGTGATGTTATTCGCGCAACAAGTATGCTTTAGCAGGAATTTATGTTTTTTAAAGAAGTTCGCTCTTGGTTCTCCACAATTCCGAAGCTCTTCCCCAAAATTTAAATAATAAAAATACCACAAAATATAGCTAGGCCTTTTAGGGATATTACAGTAAAGAAATAAAAAATAAAGCAGATTAGAACTGTTATAAAAATATTGTAAATATTAAAACCCTATCGAGATTTTTTTATTGACGAGTGTCTCTTTGTTATATTTTGGGGTAAATCAAAACAGCATAAAAAATCCGCCAAACATAGCTTCCCAAACAATCCGGGACACTTTTTCAGATCGGCAAAAAAAACTTTTCTAACTTTAAACATTGGCGTTATCTCCACTTGTCGATTCTAGACGGAAAACTGAGGAAAGTCAGCATCCACTACAATGGAATATATTTTCAGGACTATAAAAAGCCGCGACTGATTACAGTCGGAGTCTCCAACTTCATCCCACGTGTTGAATGATCTTTCTTTTCGCTACTGTCAACTTCGATTTTCGGAAGAAATTTCAGCTTTCATCGGTGGCTTAACCGAGTTATTCACCAGCCGCTGAGCCGGAAAGCCACACATTCACATATACACATGCACATGCAAACCCCACTCACACACAAAACAAGAACAAAATCTCGACAATACGTATTCTTGCACTCCACTACTGATGCAAAGTCGCACTAAAAAGAGCTCGAAATACGGTTGAAGCTCACGCTCTAATCAATCAAACTGCTGTAAACACGACTGAAACGTCCGTATTTTAGTGATACGTAGACGAAATTCTAAATGATCCTTTCCGTAACTAATTGATTCACACATCTAAAGAATCGGAAAATACATGAACAAGGAAATTCACCGCAGAAGTGCCGGGTTCCTGATGCTGACATGCTCCTGTTTCTTCCGTTATTTCCGGACTGTCGTTATTTTTGAGTCCTCGCTCGTCAGACGAGATTCCCGTCCCTGCCTCCCAATCTGCAGGCTTTTCGACACAACCTTCACCCAAACTCTCTGCCATTGGTGCGGCGGCATCGTGATCCACTTCCGCATTCTGCGCTTCTCTTCCTGAGTAAAATACACCGTCCAAATTTACGTCAGTCCGCTTCAGGCTCTCTTTCATTAGCTGCAACAGCAATTCGCATATATAATCATAAAATGTAGATAGATTCATCCCCATGAAATCTTTTCATATTAGCTACTTTTGCGCTAAAAATGTCAAATTTTTCCCAAATTTCGTTTCCGATGCTCTCCCCCTCGTATCCATTTCAAAGTAGCTTACACTGAAGTGTTGCTAAGTAGCTTACACTGAAGGTAAGCATTTTGATAAAAACTGCACAAAAATTCATTTTTTCATTAACATCTTTTCGCCCCTTGTCCTTGCAGGATTCTCCTGCTTTCTGCGCTTTTGGAAAAAGTGCTGCTTAACAGGAATCAAGCCTTGCAGCTAGTTAGGCGTATGCACACCTGTGCAAGCGCAGATAAATAACAGAACCAAGAAATGAATTTTAAAAACTGAGTTTCAAACTTCCAAAAGTGGCAGAATTTTTGGCACTAACCGTTCCGACGAGCTGACCAACACAGATCACATTTTTTGGCTGGAAGAGAGCTGAACAATTTCCAACGGCATTTCTTAATGACACAAGATCCTCACCAAATTGATATCCTGGAAATATATACCATGCAGTGGCCCTCAACGCATCCAGAGAGTGGAAGGAAATAAAATCAACGATCGCCTAGACTACTCATGTGATGCTTGATGTTTGTGCCAGGGAACACACTGACAAAACATCAGCACCGAAGTCTGTATGGCTGTGAGTAGAAATCCCAAGACACACATACAAAAATAATAAGCACACATAAATACATACACACATACATACATTTATACATACACACACACACACACACACACATAATATACGCTCCCGCTGACTCTTCTAGTCAAAAGCAATGCATCGCAAAAAATGCATAAAAAACATATAACTGACCTATTTTCAAAACCTTCCAATCCACAAAAAGTTTCTGGAAAAAGCACGAGAGCGCGTTATTAGGGATATTATCAATGTCTATTATGAATATGTGCATTGGAATGGCCAGCTGAAGAATCGATGCTCTGAAAAGATTGAACTGAAACACAGAAAGTTCACCATCAAAATAATGCAAATAGAAGTACACATCAGCAGCACGTCAGCTGAACAAAAAACAGCATGCAAATTTCACGAAACGCCGGCATTTTTTCGTATAATCGATAGAGCAAATCATAGGGTTCTGGCAGTGGCAGTGTCCGTTTTAAGACAACATTTGCAATGCTTAACGGACATTGCTGGCATCTCAAAAATGCTAAACCGAGTTAACCTCCAAAATTTCTGTGACTCCCGAGTTAACCTCCAAAATTTCCACGAGGCTGTAGGTGATAATCAAGAGCGCAGGAACGCTGAATTTGAATGGGCAAGGTCGAGCGTGGGCAGGGGGTCATCACCCTAGATTCCGCCCGGGAAAAAGTTGAGCAGGTAATCTTTTCAGCAGATAAAACGAACGTCAGAATTACTGGATAGCCACCACAAGGCAATGCAGCATTAGAAAAAGCAACTGGAAAAGATGTCAGCTGCACAGCTGGAGAAAAAGAATGTGGATTGCAGCTGATCTATTTTTAGTATAAGCAAACATAATTTGAGTGCGAGATTACCAGAAAACACTAAATTTTGTATTAAAAATAGAAAGCAATGCATACTAAAGCGTCTAACAAATCCCCTCATCCCATCAACCACTCTCCTTACAACAGTTCTCTTTCCATTTCCTGCCACATCTTTTACTATAATTAAAACAATCGTAGCAAAGTTTCAGTGCACCTCTGACGAATTCTAGGCAACTCTCTGCGCGTTCACTAGTGAGAAGTTGTTACACTCACACATAGCCAAGCGACACGCAGGCAAAATCTCATTTTTTGCTCACACAGCTACAGAGCCTGAACAAAGGCAGTGAATCAGCCAACTGCATCTTGTATTTGCATGAATACAAAAATGCACGAAGAGGGAATGAAATTTAATAAGTAGCAGCGCGCACCAAAATAGCCGGTGTGATCATGCGTTTTGTGTAATTCTGTCCACCGAAAGGCTGTTAATGATTTTCACTGCTCTGTAATTTAGTCTACGTAAAAATAGTTGAAACACAGAAAATAGTTAAAAACTTTACGGACAGCCATATAAAAACTGAATTTGAAGCCTCGAAGGGTGAATATCCTTTCAAAATTTCAATCTCTTAATTTTCTGACATTCGAATGATCTTTGAGACAAAACTTTCACGTGGTTGTACATGAGACCTCGGCATACTTGGGGACTGAATTCGAGCTTGTGACGCTCTGCCTAAACAGGAAACATTCTCCTGAAATTTTCAGTCTCCTAGCACTTCTGGCTCTAGAGATAATGATTTTCCTTACCAAAACTTCCACGGGGACATTGAAAATTTGCAGAATTGCGCGTGGGCAAGGGATGCTGTGCTAAAGTTTCAGCTTCCTAGATTTCGTGGTTCCCAAGATAATAACTTAACCATCAAAATTTCCGTGGGGCCGCACATGTTACCCGCGGGCAGGGGAAAGCTGAATTTAAATTACCTGGGTAGCAAATGGGTGGAGGACATGCCACAAAATTTCAGCTTTTTAGCTTTCGTGGTTCCCGTGATAACAATTTTACCCACCCAAACTTTTACGGGGCCGTACGTGTTACCTGCGAGTACGGGGAGACTGAATTTAAATTTTCGGGGTCACACTTGGGTGGAGGGACGTTTCCCAAAATTTTCAGCCTCCTAACTTTTGTGGTTCCCGAGTTAAAAGTTGCAAACAAGTTGCTGCGGACGCACACACACGCACACATACAGACAATGCCGTGACAATATGCGTTTTGTACTGCTGTTATACAGTACAAAACGCACAAAAAGTAAAATTAAACAGAGATGAAGAATAAACAAAGAACATTAACACTGCTTATGATGGTTTAAGTATGGCTCACAGTTTCCATAACATTTTTTCCTTTTTCAAGCATCAGTGTTACTACAGTCAGAGGCATATGAATGTCTACGGGCTTTATTGTGGATGAGCTAACAAAGTAAGTTATTTAAACCACAATACCAAAATCGTCCCGGTAAATGAAGAGGAACTGATACTAGTGATGCTCCCAGATGTCTAGGAAAGCAAAGCTGAGCCTTTCAAGTGTGAGCTACATAGCTAGTACCCGCCACCTGGTCGATGTTCGTAAATATGCGATTAGATAGTTCTTAGAAAATCTGGTCTGTTGAACTACTAATATTACGAAAGGACGAAGACTTTGGAAAAAATCATTCAGTCAAAGTGATTTCAACAATTACTCTCAAGCAAACACGAATAGATAACTGTAACCAACGTACACCCGAACAGCAGCAAAAAGAAGAAAACTGACTTGCTGTTGGAGACGTACGACGACCACTCTGCATCCACGCCAACAGGTGGTAAACTGTCATTGGCATAATCCTCAAGCAAGTTCTCGACACGTCTTAAATGCGACAGGTGCCGAACAAATTCAACCGAAACCGATTCCGGTATACTCAAAAACGGCGGATTTGGTGAACACAGATCGAATGATTCCACATCACTAAAATGGGCTTGTATCAAAAAAATAACATATTGGCCAACGCACGGGCTGCCCGTGCGAAGATGTGTTTTTTACACAGCTCCCCTCAGTTTTTGCTGCTACCAACATCGGCTTTTTCGGCAAATGCTTATAGCTAAACAAATTAAGACTGGCCGCCAGAACTGTCAGGAAACACCCTTTAAAATTTCAGCTTTCT